CTTTGCCATCTGGACAATGGCAGCCAGCGTGCTGGCTTACCCACTTCGACTATGATGCTAGCCTTTGCCATCTCAACCATGGCTGCCAGCGTGCTGGCTTACCCACTTCAACTATGATGGTAGCCAACGTGCTGGCTTTCCATCTGGACAATGGCAGCCAGCAAGCTGGCTTCCACTGCCTGTTGTCAGCCAGCAAGCTGGCTTCCACTGCCTGTTGTCAAAGGCACGTGTTAGTTGTACTCCCAAGTCGCCAGTTCTCATCTTCCAGCTCCCCAGCTACTCCGCGCGCTACAGTTATATACTACACCGTCGCCAGTTCGCAGCTACTACCCACTCGCCAGTTCTCCTCTTCCCATTTCCCAGCTACTCTCCATACTAAAGTTGTACTACCCAGTCGCCAGTTCTCATCTTCCCAGTCCCCAGCTACTCTGCGTACTAAAGTTGTACTACCAGGTCGCCAGTTCTCATCTTCCAGCTCCCCACCTACTGCGCATACTAAGGTTGTACTACACAGTCGCCAGTTCTCAGCTACTACCCACTCACCAGTTCTCATCTTCCCACTCCCCAGCTACTCTGCGTACTACTGTTGTACTACCAAGTCGCCACTTCTCATCTTCCAGCTCCCCCGCGACTCCGCGCACTACTAAAGTTGTACTACACAGTCGCCAGTTCTCAGCTACTACCCACTCACCAGTTCTCATCTTCCCACTCCCCAGCTACTCTGCGTACTACAATTGTACTACCCAGTCGCCACTTGTCATCTTCCAGCTCCCCCGCTACTCCGCGCACTACTAACGTTGTACTACAACATCGCCAGTTCTCAGCTACTCCGCGTACTAAAGTTGTACTACGCAGTCGCCAGTTCTCAGCTTCCAGCTCCACAGATTGCTCCGCGTACTAAAGTTGTACTACAAAGTCACCAGTTCTCAGCTTCCAGCTCCCCAGCAGCTCCGCGTACTACCGTTGTACTACCAAGTCGCCAGTGCTCATCTTCCAGCTCCCCAGATACTCCACGCCCTCCAGTTGTACTACCCACTCGCCAGTTCTCATCTTCCCGCTCCCCAGCTGCTCCGCGCACTACTCTCGCACTACCACGTCGCCAGTTCTCCGCTTCCAGCTCCCCAGCTACTCTGCGTACTAGAGTTGCGTACCAAATCGCACTCTCGCCTGTGTTTCGCGCACTCGACACGCACGATCTCCGCAGAGGGTTGCGCGCGCACCGGACAGATCGCACTCTCGCCTGCATTTCGCGCACTCGACACGCATGATCTCCGCAGAGGGTTGCGCGCGGACCGGACAAATCGCACTCTCGCCTGCATTTCGCGCACTCGACGCGCACGATCTCCGCAGAGGGTTGCGCGCGGACCGGACAAATCGCACT